ATCTCAGAACCCTCAAGAAATGGAGGCGCTGCTGGGCTTTCTTTACTAGGGCTGATGTGTTTGTGGACCAGGATAGGTCCTCAGATATGTGGGTGCCGAGGAACTTAGAGGACACCTTCTCCACATTGTTCAGGTGTTTGTTCTATGTTTGCAGAAATATCAAAGAGACCACCTATAACAACATTTTGGAAGGAAAGCACCATGTCGGCCTTTAAGCCTAGATCTTTGCAGACTCTGGTTCTAACCAGATTTAAAGGAATTTGTTAGAATATGATGATATGGATGTTTGGGTTTTCATACTGAACAAATCAGGAGTGTTTGTAGAAACATTTGATTATTGTTCAATTCTGGTTGTTGAATTAGAGGAAAAGGAAATGGGTTGTTTTTTTTTCATAAGTACCAGCAGTCCATTTGGAATGAGCCCCAGTAATGTTATTCAGATTCAATTTAGACACTTTTTGGTGGGTTTTTGTAATTTATCATTATCCTTTGCTGCTTGGATCATTTCATGTACACATTCGCCAAATAAGGCTTGTGTACTCCAAGACTATTAAATTCCTCCACAGGAAGAGGAAATATTTCTCCCTGCTGAGAATTGTCACAATAAAAGCATAGAACAGTCTTTAGTAATCTTGTTCAGACACACAGGAAACTAAAGTGTAATTCAAACATTTTATTAAAACAGCTTAAAACCAGCAGCAGTTTCAGATCTGCTCCACCTATCAGATGGGTGTGGTTGTATGTGACATCACTTGGGGGTAGTCCTTTGGATTGCAGGACTTAGAGCTTTTAGAGTAGCTGCAGGTCTCTGGAGTGCCTTAATGACCTGCAGACCCAGAGTCCTCATTGGATGCAGGGATGCAGTCCTAGCACGCCTGCTAGGACTGGGACCAGGACCAAGGTCTGCTGGGTCAGATACAGTGTGGGGGTCTCCTCTGTTCCGATGAAACAGGGACTCCCGTCGCCGTGTGCAGGGGCTCACAGCCAACACATTGCGGAAACCATAGGGCGTGGTCACCTTCGGCACGTGACACAGCGACATAGCTGCACGCGTGGTCAGGTCCATGTCTACGTCCGCAGATACTGCAGCGGCAGTGTGAGGGTGAATGACTGGTAGGGGTGTGTGGAATCTGGGAGAGGATGCAGGGCTAGGTGGGTTCTCAGGGGGGCGCTCACTATCACCACCATGATGAGAAAGTAGTCTGGTCCGCTCCGGGGACACCGGATAAGGCCGCGGCGTGCAGGGTAGGAGAAAGAAACTCGGGATCTTCTCCGGGGTTAGAACCAGAGTCTGCAAAGATCTAGGCTTAAAGGCCGACATGGTGCTTTCCTTCCAAAATGTTGTTATAGGTGGTCTCTTTGATATTTCTGCAAACATAGAACAAACACCTGAACATGATTGTGATTATCACATGTCCTTCCTGAGGCTGTGGGACAGG